ATCTATCTGTATATTTGCAACTTTGTGAACCTGTAGCTGTATTCACATATGTATGCGTGCATGTGTGCCTGCAGGTATGTCTGCTAGGGATTGTATGCGTGCATGTTGGTGCCACGATGGGTATATGTTTTCGCATGTCTCATAAAAGTGGTTGTTTGGACATATGTCTATCCATATATTAAGTTTGCGTAGACATGATAAAATATTAAATATGAAGCAGTAAGTTGTGTGAGACACATCAGTAGTTGAATAACTTGTAATTTGTAAAAATTAAGCTCTGGTTGGGAATGATGATTGAAATCTTGTGAACTCAATTTAATAATTAGAAGGATTTTTTAGTAATGTTCTTTGTAAATTTGTGTTGATTTGGATACATTAAATTTTTTTTATTAGGGAGCTGCAGCAGATTCCTTTGGGGAAAGTTGATATCTTCTATAGATTATGTGTAAGCAGAGGGATATATACATTTCCCCATGAAAAATTTCTGTGGTGTACTAAACAATATTTTCCATACAAATACTTCGGTGTTTATTTTGTGGGCCCCAAATGACTTTCAGGGGTTCCTTTATTTGGAATTTTGCAGAACATAAAACAATTAAGCACACTATATTACGATTTTAGAACCTTGTAATCAGCCTGGGGGCCTTTTGTTATAATAATGTGTTCTATGAATTTTGTATGTATGCATGGAGTACGGACAAATACATCTGTGGCTAATCATAGGTTTCCCTTTTTTATGGACATGGACTCGTAGTTTACCTTTTCATTGAGCATTTTGTTTGGTACCCCATGGCATGTTTTAATGGCGGCTTTAATTTTTTCCAAAAAATTTTCTCTGTCTAATGCCTTAGAATTGACCTCCCAGGATCAAACATAATGAACTTGAAAGAGAGCTTTCCACTCTATATCAGATGGAGCAAAAGTTGTTGTCTGAGGTCTGTGAATCATTCAAGTTGTTTTCTGTTTTCATAATTTACATGGGTTTGTAGTTTTGCCATGTTGTTATTGTGCCTTTGTCTTTAAGATGTTTGGGATATGTTGAACATTCTCAAGTGAAAGTCTGATGTTTTTGTGCTTATTCTTGATAGTTTTATGGCCTGCAGCATCTCTTTCGAAATGTTTATATTTTTATTTGTCGAGATAAGTGACAGCTTTTTTTTCTTTCAGACGATTCCCTCCCTCTGTTGGGAGCTTGCTCAGCTCCAAGATACATATATATTGCAAGGTACCGCATGCTACGAGTTGGTAAATTGATATGAGAAAGGAATAGTGTTTCTGTTGACTAACTTCCTTACTTTGATTTATAGGTGATTATGACTTAAAAGTCATGCGTCAAGAGTACTATATGACCCAACAAAAAATGGTTTGTTCTTGTGCCTGGCATTTGTGTGTTAAGAGTACTGTGTGACAATGATATTCAGATTTTGACCATATTACTTTGGATACTATTTTGGGATGGTTAGGCACTGAACCTCCTCTAATGAATCTTGTTCTGTTACTCGAAAAAACCTTTAGAAAATGGTTTTTCTGCATCTATAAAATAGATTTGTGGTTGGGCAGTCAGGTTTGATGAAACTAACAGGAGATGATTGCTTGCTGTGACAGTTTATTAGTCATTTGGTTAACCAGCTGGCTAGGCATCAATTTTTGAAAATTGCCTGTCAGCTTGAGAGGAAGACTATGAATGGAGCATATGTGTTGCTTAGAGTTATCGAATCCGAGTTGCAGGGGTACTTGTCAGCAACAAATGGTCGTGTGGTATGCAGGCTCTTGATTTGTTTTTGTTATATAGGTAGATGCTAATTTTGTTTTTTATTTTTTTCCTTCTATTTTCTTCAATATAATATTTGATAAATATGGCTATTTGTTTCATACTTCTTATTTGTCAAAAGAAAACATTGCATCGAGATCAAATTGTATCTTAGTTCTTTTATCTTCATTTGGCTTTTCAAATACTCTATATATACTTTCAATGTGAATGCTGATTGCTTGGGTCTGTTATTTATGCATCCCTTAGTGATTTTTCTGGATTAGAAAGACATTTTTTCCTCGTTGTAGGAACGATGCTTATCATTAATTCAGGCTGCATCTGAAGTGCATGAACAAGGTGCAGTGGATGATCGAGACACGTTTCTTCATTCTGTGAGAGATCTTTTGAGTATTCACACTAGTAAGTTGTAAAATATTATCAAATTACATATCCCCTTGTGTTATTATTAATAAAGTTTTTTTCAGCTACTGGTATAAAAGGTTTGAACTATTCTAAACTTTATTTACAATGTGTCTATGTGCAATTGGATTTTTTGGTATAGGATATTGGCTATTGATTATAGTTGCAACTCTAACTATTAATTCCTATTCTTATAGATTCTCAGGGTGTATTGCCTATGTATGTTTCGGCACCTGGAATTGTACAACAAGTATCAGCCCTGCATTCTAACTTGCTTTCTCTTCAATCTGAGCTTGAAATTTCCATTCCAGACGACAGAAATCGATGTATCAGTGAGCTGTAAGATCCTGACTTGCCTATTGCTTTGAGTTACATCAAGAAACTACATATTCACATCTTCTGATAAGGATTGCAGGTTTTGCTTGGCTCAAGAGGCTAGACTGCTATTGTTCTTCAAAATTCTATGTAGTTGCTATACTTTTCAAAATGTGTCAGCTGAATTGCATGTAAATTACTTAAAACCGCATGGTTTGCTAGTTTTCCTAACACAATAATGATACACAAAGGATGCTTTATGTGAGTAATTGCTATTGACTTGTTAAATCTGAAAGTTAATGATTCACTTAAATTTTGTGGAATCTTTACATTATATAGGTAAACTTCCTTAGCATAGTCTTGAGTCCCTGACTGTAACTGTTTGGGACAAAAGAAAACAATAGCAAGCATATAATCGTACATGTTATAATTATCTTCTAGAGCACATAATGGATCTTCATATGCTAGATTATCAATTTTATAAAGGTCCATTAACAATCTCTGGATTTTTTTTCCATAAAAACATTTATTAAGACAAATAAAACATTCAATATGTGCTCCATGGTTTTAAAGTTCTTAGTCTAATAGTAATTAAAGTAGATAAAAAATTCATACTCCATATGGTATATGGTTTTGAGCAAAAGAAATTTCGTCACTTAAACTTTTGTGTTTCAAATAATACCATTTTTAGTTTTTAGTTTTTATACTTTTTCTATAAAAAAGGGATGACTTTATACCGATTTGGAACAAGAGGAGGGAGAAGATGAGGGAGAATCTGTAGACTGTCCTGAAATTCGTTCAAGGAAAGCCAAACATGTGGTAATTTATGCTGATAACGAGGAGAATACGAATACCTATACTCATACTGTTGTTGGGACTACTCATGATCCAGATAATGATCAAATGGAAGAGGTGGATGTGATACGTTACGCACAGAAACCTGCTTTTCGTCGGGATCTAATCAAAGGATTGATGCACGCTCAACGACGGAAAATAGTTACTTGGGAAATGCTTCAAAGAAATTTGCATTCCCCCGTCTGTTTGGATAGAATAGACTAAAACCCTTTTTTTTATTTTGCAATAAATACTCAAACACTAATATATGTATATGTTTGCTATTTGTTAGGTGCACTTTAATTCAAAACATGCAGCAACTCCTTTTTGCTTCGTCAACTACTGCACAACCAATATTGACACCTTGGGTAAATTTTGGCATTTGCTTTTTCAACTTTCAACTAACTTGTCTCCATTATACTCGTTCTTCTTTGAATAATATAATGCCATGCAATTTGTGAGATAGCTTTGACTTATTATTTTGGTCTGTTTTTGCAATCTTTTAGTCTTACCACTCTATATGATATTATATTGCTGCTGTTTATTGCTCATTATCATCTGTTATAGTGTTATTTTGATGCCTATGACACATCCCCATCTAAGCTACGGATAAAAGGATCCATTGTTACCCTCATCCTTAATTATGAAACATTTTTGGTTAGGCGTATATTTGATCTGTTGAGGTGTCACATTTATTGTGCTGATGTTAGCCCCCACATGGTATTAAATGGTGTCACTACTTCACACATTCCCATGCTTTATGGGTTGTTTCTTAACTTTGTATTGTCCATTGATAAAGAAATATTGGCCAAAAATTGATTTTTAATCATATCTGGGTTGACATTAAATGATTTTTGATCGAGTTATTTCTTAACTTGATAGTTTTATGCTTCACAAACCCAGCTCAGCTGTGGAACTCATACTTTGATGGGTCCATGTTACTCGGGCAAATTCGAGTCGACATGCCTGAGTTTGCATTGAGCTATTGAAAGAGCCCAAAACAAACTCAAAAAAGGGGAAAAAATAGTGAAAAATTGATAAGAATCAGACAAATTGGAAAATTAATGATAAATAATAGATGTTATAGGATTGTACTCGATGAAATTAATTGACAATCTAATGTAGCACTGAAGATATTGTAATTTATATTTTTATACTATTCTAATGCCATTTGAAATGAGGCCCATCAATTCCACTTCACATTGAAGAGTAAATATTAGGTTAATACACTGCTTACACTCTACATTGTCATAGGCATAGACTCACAATCTCAGAGAAAGCTAGAGATATAAACCCTACAAAATGCACTTTAAGTAGAAAAATATATCATTCCGCACTCAATAGGAGGACCTTGAAAGTATAATGGGTCCTTTATGTCGAGAGGGTGTCCTTCTCAAATATCCTTATCATTGTGGGAGTGGTCCCTATGCTGAAGTTTCCGAGGCTAGTCCAACCCTCATGCTTAATGCTACCTTAGCTTTGTTGCTCACTACCTGGTTGTATTGCTCACTGCCGTAGATCTATTGCCCACCACCTTGGCCTTCCTCTTTATTAGAGCTCCCACCATCTTGGCCCTCCTCAACTTCCTCTTGCAGCTCCTCCTGTTGAGTTTCCACAACATCCCCGTCTCCTTGGAGGTCATTTGGCTCATCAGTAACTTGATCATCGACTCTCTTGTTGATTACTAGTTATTCTCGCTCCACCAACCATTCTCTACTAGATCCTCCTCGAATATGAGGTCCAAGTTGATAGGACTGTAATACTTCGCCTCCTTCTTCAGCTGCCTCTTTCTTTGATATTGTTTGTAGTGCACATGGACAATCTTGTAGAGCCTCTCATTTTTCGACCTATTCCTCATAGCATGGATCAACTGGAATACTCCAGTTTATGTTACACCTCATGGCAGAACGAATTTGTATGAGGATTCTGATTGCGATATTTTTTAAGGGGGGTGTGTTGCCTCTATGTACCTTCACCATCTCGCTGAAAAGGCAAGGATCATTCAGTCAAATAGGAATGCAATAAGAAATACTAGATATACAAACATATATGACCAATGGAATGTTGAAAGCTAGCCTGGTTCTACGTGTGTGCAATTTATCCTCACGAGATTGGAACCATATTCACCTTGTGCATCTGTATACAAAGTAAGTTAAGATAATAAAATGCACATTTTAAAGTGCAAAACTACAACAGGTTAATGATCAACATTGTTTCACATTTCCATTAACTTTACTCAGAAAAAAAGAAACACTTTTTCACTTTTGAAGTTTTAAAAATTTTAAAAATCTTTACTCAGAAAAAAGGCACTTTCACATTTTGAAGTTTTAAAGATCTTTCCTTTTTCAAATTCAAGGCTTCAGTTTGGATGCGTTATCTGGCCTAAATCCTTTGTCTGAACATATGGTTTTAAATGTTTCTTCAAGTGACTGATTCCTTCTTGGTCATTGTCAGTGACAACGATATCATCACCACAGACAACAAAAACAATTATTTTGGAGTCCTGTATCCAAACAAACACTGAATGATCTGCATGATTACGCTGAAATCCATATAGTATAACAATTTCACTGAATTCAAACCGTGCACATGGGGATTGTTTCAGGCCATAAATTGGCTTTCTTTAACTTACACACTTTTTCGGAACCCCCAGTTCACAAACCCGGGTGGTTGCTCCATATACACCTCTTCTTGTAGCATTCTTGACATCAAATTGCTACAACGGCCATCCGTTGTTGGCAGGCAAAGATATAACCACTCGAACTAAATTGAGTTTAGCAATAGGGGTAAATATTATTGAGTAACCAATGGCAATTGCCAAATGTTTCTTTGTATCCCTTGGCTATCAATCGGGCTTTAATCTTTCTACAGTGCCATCAGGTTGATATTTAACTACATAAACCCATTAATGCCCAACAGCCCTTTTCTCAGCTGGTAACTCAGTGAGTTCCCATGTATCATTTGAATGAAGTGCATCCATCTCCTCTTCTATGGCTTTCTTCAACCCATATGAGAAAGTGCTTCGTGATAAGTCTTAGAATAAAAAATAGACGAAAGGGCTAAAGTGAAACTTTGATATGATGGAGACAAATTTGTAAAGGCAACAAATTATGCAATTGGATGTTGAGTATACCTTTACGGATAGCAATAGGTACATCATCAACACAAGAAGGAAGATTGATGTGCCTCCCCTCCATAAGTGGCTTATTTTTTTGGCTGCTATCTTGCAACTGGAAGTGATGTGTTTGGAATCAATGTTATTAGAACTGGACTAGATGTCAAATTGGAAAAGTTTAACGTTTATATTTTTATAGTTTGGACTGATGGTAGAGCCATTTGGACTGGTTTGTATTTTTTAAATAATAATGTAAAAAAGGACAATATAAACAGGTAAGTTAATGTGTGTTTGTGCATGTGTGTGTGTGTGTGTGTGTGAGAGAGAGAGAGAGAGAGAGAGAGAGAGAGAGAGAGAGAGAGAGAGAGAGAGAGAGAGAAGATAGTAGTTATTATATATAAGTAAGTAAGTAAGTAGAGAGAGAGTAGAGTAGAGAGTAGAGTAGAGTACGTACGTACGACGTACGCGTACGTACGT